TTATAAAAAAAAATAATAATTCACTTGTAACAGTTTTAATAAATCTGTTTCACGCATTATAGGAATTCTATTCGCTACATAAAATAAAAATCTGCAATTTAATGCAAATTCTTAATTTTAATCAGAAAAAAGCACCAAATTGTTTAGCAATTAGTACAACATAATTTGTTTTTATTATTTCAATCATTTTTTAAATTTATAACATGCATGCAAATAAACTTAATTAATGAAGATTCTCTTAACTACTTGGTCAAAAATTATCAATATAATGAAAAATCTTTGCTTAAATAAGTAAAAAAGAAACTAAACAATGTTTGAATGCAAAATATCTGTAATATATACATTTTTAAATTAAATTTTGTTTTATTCTGTTTTCATGAGCAGAGTTTTAATTTAAGCACAATAGTTTTAACGAATATGCTTTACTTGATAAAGAATTCAATAAGGTATGTAAGGTGAAAATTTACAATTTAATGCAGACTTTTTGCTTGAATCGGAAAAGAAGAATAGGAATAACGATTTAAGCTTTTCTAAATGGAACATGATGTAATAGATTTTATTCAATGAAATACAAGATTTGGATAATATAGCAAATGGATTTTTTATGCAAAATCCAAATCTGCATGATCATTATCATTTGTTCCTGTGTTACATCATTTGCTTTAGAGTAAGAGGTAATGAAATATTCATTTCTTGGATATGTTTCAGCAGAAATAGAACTTTTTTTATACTTAAAAAAATATGCTAAAAAATGATAATGAAATGAGTTTCATCGCTATATACTAGTGGTTTATAAAAGGCTCAATTACAATTTTACTTCACTTGAAATTCCAGTTCGTGAAAATTCATTTACTTTTTTTCTTAACTTACATCTTAAAATGAATTTATATTCAAAGTATGGTAAGCATTTTCTTAAAGGAAAACTCTATTAATATTTATAACTTACAACATATTCATTATAAACTATAATAGTAATTTTGAATTTTAAATTAAAAATAACAGAAATAATAAAATCAATATAATAGAAATAATCGAAATAATAGAAATTTTCTAATTTCTATTATTTCGTTTAAAAATATATCATTATTAAATTAAGTCATATTTTTAGAATTTCTTACCTTGCATTCCAAAATAAATTTATATCCAAAGTATCCAGGTTTTATTTTTTCCAGCAAAATTGAAATGAAAATAAATAAACTAATAATTGTTTATTAAAATATACAAAATTATGTGTTTTGCCAATGTATCTTAATGTCTATCCTGCTCAAAGTTTCTAGTTATATCAAAATTTCTTCAAATTTTAACTTTTTTAATTAATTTGCAGGATTGTGAGGCAATTTTGTTCACTTATTAAACGACAAAAATATGCTGCTTTGAAAAAAACTGTCAAAACGTGTCCCCGTCATCTTAGTTTTTATGTAAAGGATATACTAATAATCATCTAAAGTTTTAAAGTTACTTCAAAATTTGTAGAAGTTATGTTAGTTACTTCAATTCATTTTTTATATTAAGCCTTGCATACTGTATTAGTAATTTTGAGTTTTAAGTTTTCTAATTTCTTATTTCGTTTAAAAATATAACATTATTAAATTCAGTCATATTTTTTGAATTAAAAAATAGCTGAATTTAAAATATTCCTAATAAGTATGTTTATTTTTACTTTTATAAGTTAATGATATCTAACAATTTTGCCCTATTTCATAATTTCAAGATTGTTGGAATAAAATTAACTTTTAAAGTGACTTTAAATATTTATCAAATGAAAATATTTAATAACTTGACTTATTCACATTAGTTTTAGATTTATTTGAAAGATATTTAATTATGAAAGCGTCTAGAGAAATGAACATACAGTTCAAATTTTGTTTCTAATTCTGCTCTGTGTTTTCAATTTCTGTGATAGATAAAATTTAATTCATAGTTAATTTGAAAGATGCTTACAAATTCGTGATCATTCCGTTCTTTTATACTTGTCATTACAAATAGTTTCAAATTGAAATGTTTTATTTTAATTTAAAACATTTTAATATTTGCTTATCTCAAATTTTCTGCATTCTTGATTTTCCACATTAAACACTGTATTAAATTGTTTCCGCTTTAAAGAAAGATATTTATTTCTGCTTTTAAATATATTTAAAATTTAAAAACTTCCTGAAAACTGTATTTTTAATTCATTAGTTTTTTTTTTTCAGTGTAAAAATCTTTCGATTTTTCTAAATTTAATGTCATTTATGAATTGAAATATGCACTAATTTAAATTATTTTTGTTTCTTTCAGGAAATTTAACAGTGGGAAAATGTTTAAATAAATTTCCGATAAATTATAAATAAACATGTAATTTCTTTTTTAAAGAAATATATATATTCTCTAATACATTAGTTTTGGTTTCTGAAAGTGCTTTGAATGTCTAAAATCGTACTAAACACTTTGCAAATTTTTAATAATCAAAATGCAGTAAAATAAAAATATGTTATAAAATTCTATAAATTAAAACGTACAAAAGTACTTTCAAGTTATCAGCCATTTAGTATTATTTTACTAGCATATTAACTTTTTAACCCCGTACTCATATTAAAAGAGTTGATTAAAATATTCGCTTTAAAACATTTCATTTATGCAATTAAACATATTAAATACTCAAAAAAAGGAAAGGGTAATACTTCGTGCTACGCAGACTAAAGCAAAACAAAACGAGAATAAAGCAGAAATGAAAGTACATAAATTGGCCTTCTATAGTTTCAATTCTATAGAAAAGAACCTTCCTCGAAATCTAAGCGTCAAATGTTTAGATATTATGTAATGCCACGTCAAATATTTTTATATTAAGTACAATTTCATGCTTTTTATTCTTTTAAATGTATCTAGTTAAAATCATTAATAATAGTCTAATAGTTGTGCATCAAATTTCGCACAAAAATACAAAGCAGATTACAAAACACAAAAACAGATAACAGATTCCAAATATCTTTTAAATTAATTATGACATTTTAAAACAGAGTTTCAACTCACCAGTATTTAATTTATCTTCTTTTATTATTCTTTATAATAAAAGTATACATTTTTTCCTTAAGTACATTCATCTAGAATGGGAATAACATTCAAAAATGTTAATGTGAATTTGATTCATTTAATATAGACGAATATTAAATATTTTCTGGGTTTCAATCAGTAAATAATAAAAATTCAAAAATATAATCAAAATCCAACATATTTTACTATTTGAAAATCATTCCATACCTTTAAATAGTGCAAATTACTCTTTAATAAAATTTAAGAAAAAACCCATTTGCATACTTTTAATTCCTGCATAATTTAAATTAATCATTTGATATGCACGTTAACATTTATTTTCACAATTTTTATTTCAAACCGAGAAAATATTCAAATATTTCCTTTTAAATTTCAAATATTTAATCTCCCGAGCCTCTGAACTCTCAATCCTACTGGAATTATCATTTATATGTGCTAATTAGTTTCCACGTCTCTCGCCCTAAAATTGATGCAGCTAGTGCTTAATGTAGTGCTAGATCATAATCAACGTAGGTTACCAAGGCTGCCTAATTAACCAGAACTGGGTTTTGTCTGCCGTTTAATTTCTGCGTGCCTAATTTAGAAAATGATAGTATTTTGAAACCTTTGGTTCAAAGGCAGAATTCTAATTAGTTTATTTCTACTCACGCGTATTTTAATTTTAAGTTTGAAAAGGTTTGTTGAAAAATGACGGTCATTCGTGAAACAACTCTACGCCTCATTTATTCTGTAAAAAGACACATTTATCACTTGTTCCGTTTATTAGTCGTGCATGCCAAAGGGTTCAAAGTGAGACTTTTATCTTTGATTTTACTGTTTCACTGGCTTCATAGTTACAAAAAATATGTACATTTACTTTGATAACGTATATATTTCAAGAACTATATCAATTTTATTCTATAAAGTTGCTGTTTAAATAAACATGTAATTAAATATCAATGTTTTAACACTGGTATAAAATAGCACCCTATAATTTTAACTTAAGGGTATTAAACACCACGTGGGGAGAAAACCTTCTGATAAAATTACCATATGGTATAGTAAGGACAGTTCTGGTAAAAGAAATAATTCTGGTTAATTTCAAAGCATATAATATTTAAGCCCATGTGGTAGCGGTTTACCAGAAATTTTGGTTTTTATAACTATAATTCTTAATACCACAAATTTAGCAAAAATTAAATTTTACTGGCTTTTATACCATGCTCTAAAATGTCATAGTAAAGTTGCTAAATTTTACTAAATTTACCAAATTTTATTACATAATATAAAAACCAGCGAGAATCACGGTAAAACTACCATATTAGAGCGAGAAACACGGTAAAATCTGCTATGTTCTGGTAGTTCCAAGCATGTTTTTTTCTCGGTTGCATAATACAAGTAAGTAACAATAAAATAAGAATCAAAAATGCATGTTATTAAAGCAGGAAATATGCAAAATAATAGGTAATAAAAAGTATAAGTAGTACAGATAAACTTATATAAATAACAACATAATATTTTTTAATGTATAAATAATTTATAGTTCAAAATAGGACTAATACAAACAATTAACAGTATGATAATGACCAAAATTAAAGCAAATTTTCACTTAGTATATATTTTATTTCAATTAAAATTGATTAAAATAATTCTTAAGATATGAATAATTTGCAATGTGAAAATTAATTGCAATTTAAAATCTTCAAAATAAAAATCGAATATGATGAACAAAATATTTGTTTACTAAACAAATATTTGCTCCAAAATTTTTGTTTATTTTTTAATGTAGCCTTTTTGACACTAATCACAAATAAATAATTTAATGAAATCTTGCCAAAATCTCACTTAGTTGGACCCATTTTTCGTTCTTTCATTTGGAGAATTATCCTGTTCACAGAATTTTTATAGGAATGTACAGAATGCTAACTACAGCTGGTTGAAGGGGACCAATTGTTATCGAAAAATTACAATTCGGCCCAATGTCAACCAACTAAAGCGTAGCACTAAGCATTAAGGTAGCAACACGGACGATTTTTCTCTTTTTGTCAGCAACACGCACACCATGAAACACCTAAAATTAAAAATAACAACGATTTCTCAATTGAAATCAATATTTACAGCACAGACAAAAAATTGTTACACAGAGAAAAACATTTTGGTAAAATTATCTTACTGCAAAGGAATGAAATTTATGGTATTAAATAAAAATCATTCTGGCTTATAAAACCAAACTGTACGGTATTTAAACCTTTCATTTTGCATTTTTTTCCGTTCATATTGTCGTCAGCCATTAAGGCAGAGGGGGTACGATTGTTTTTGTTTTCCAGTGGCTAATAATTCAACTTCTGATACACCCATGCGTCACGCCCGTTTATAGGGCGGACCCATTCATACATCCATTCATTCATCTACAGATCGTAATTTGATCTGAACCAGAGATCTATCAATCTCTAATTCAGTACCCCTGGAGGTACCGATTTCTTATGGTAACTTGGAAGAGTTTGTGACCCGACAAATTTAATTTGCACCTGTCACCATTTACTACACGGAGAGTCTTCGGCCGGGAGGGATCGAACTCAAGACCTCTTGTACATGGGCCCAACGCTCTGCCAACCAGGCCATCCCGACTTTCCATTCATATGGTAACAGTTTACCCGAAATTCAGGTTTTTTAAATTTCAGTTCTTATTGCCACACATTTAGCAAAAAATTACAAAACTGAAGAGTAAATTTAAGCGAATAAATGGATTTTATACCAAGTTTGTATTATTATATAATTACCAAACTTTATCACATTTACCAAATTTTGTCACATATTATGAAACCAAATTTTACTTTTAATTTTACCAAAGTGCTTTGGGTAAAATTATTGAGCTTTTTAGTATTCCCATAAAATCAGAAACACAGAAAATTGTAATGCGTGTTTCAGTTGTCTTGACCATTCTTTCTTCTCAGTGTAGTTATGGTTCATTATAAAATTTCAATAATCAATAGGAGCAAAAAAATAATTTTTTGTTTGTACACAATTAACTGAAAGTGTTATGAAAAAAGGATTTGTTGAAGATTTAAATTTCACGGATGAATAAAATAACGAACGTATATCATTATCAGTGTGCTTGAAAATGCAAAATCCAAAAATTTCTTATATTCAAACAAACTAAATTTTTTTTCTAACTCTAATTCGGTTTTTAATAAGCAGCAAGGGAAATATTTTCATATTTTTAATATATTGAATTTTGTTCTTTCAAACAAATTGAAAATATTTTTTACGAACATTATTTTAATATTTTTACTATTTTTTTATTCTACTTTTTTGCATAAAATTTTTTAAAATTTGTTTTACTACCTTAATTTTTATTATTCAGTGATATCATCTTTCATGAAATTTTCAGCATGTTCCCTTTTCCATTTTAAAGTATTTTAAATTTTTACTGTTTTTAAAATTTAATTTTAATTAAATTTTGACTAAAAGCTGCAAAAAATTTTTGTTTTACTGACACTACTTTCATGTTGAAGAAATACCAAATTATATATTGTTTCTTTACTAAAATGTGAAATAAATATTCAACAATTAAAATAACTCTTCCTGAGACATAAATTGAATTTATACAATTCAGTTTTAAAACTTTTAAATCCCAGTATATAATATAACTCAGTAATTCGAGTTTCCAATTATTTTAAATATTATACAAAGAGATATTCTTCATATTGTGCTCGGTTAAAGAAAAAGAAGTAGGTTTAACCAAAAATGATCTAGAAACTTGCAATCAATGTTACATACAAGTAAACTATTCTAAAACGACTTCAAAATTGTAATCTTTATATTCGATTTCAGAAACATTCGCCTCGAGTTGGAGCAATTCACTTGTACTTGTTACATTTACTTGAAGAAAGAGTACAGATGATTTATTACTCTCTAACTGCAACTGTAGCGAGTTAAGTTTCAAATAGAAAAAAATGAAGTGCATTGAATTTTAACGTCATGGTATCATGGCTAGGGTTCTCAATTGCTGTTCTTTTTTGAATGGCTTCCAACATGTTTCAAACGATCTGCATCGTGAATGGCGGATTTGTCGGTGAAACTGGATTCGTTCTTGCTCGGTTCATTGAAAACGAACGAACGCTTTACACACGGCTCAGTGATGCCACCGAAAAGATAAATTTTTATTATTTTTCATTCGGTTGAAGTCTAGGAAATTCAATTGAAAGGAACGTTATCTTTCGTCTGTTGTCAGCGGCTGATTTTAGAGAGTATTTTCAGTATTGAGTCTTCAATGAACTTAGAAACGGTAAAAATTTTGCTGCTGCATTAAACATCTTCTTAATAATTGATTTTCAGAAATTTTTGAACCGAATATTTTTAAAGTAGGGATCTTGTGATAGTATATTTTCACAAAAAGAAGTCTTTAGACATGAAATAAGAAATTAAAAATGGCATAAAAGAGTTTTAAAAATTGAATCTCTGCATTCTTAAAATATTTTCTTGGCGAATGTATGTACCTATTTTAAAGTAATAAAACATGCGTAAGATCCAGGTGAGATAAGTAGAGCATCTTAACAGCTCTTAATCTAATGATTATATTTTAAAACTCTTAAAAGAACACTACGATACAATTTGAAATGTTGAATTTTCCAAATTTTTTTAATATTGTTTATCTGTACTCAAATGTAGTAATTAAAAACTTTTTAAAAAATTTCAATTAAGACAGCAACTTTTACAAGAATACAACGTAATAAATAATTTACTACTTCTTCTATTTTTAAATGGAAATTTGACATACAGCATTTGTACGTAGATCAACGTTATTAAAAATGTTCTTCTTATGATTAGTCATTTTTTATCTGTGAGAATTTAAACTTTTTATTACCTGGGCTGATTGAGTATGATCAATACGAATATCTTTGGTTTTATTGGAAATGAGATGAATTTTTAAATTAAAATGCATCATTTTTTTACGAAACTAAGGAATATTCATTACCTAAATACGATTTTAAAAGTTTTAATTCTTACTCAGAAGGCATTTTAGCACTTACAGAAGTAAGTAAACATATACGAATATTTTCTATCTATTAAAAAAAGCATAAAAAGAGTGAAATAAACAAAAGATTTAAAAGAATGAAAAGCATATTTACGAATCCGAAAAAAAAGCAAAATTGGAGAAAAAGGTGTACAGTATTTATTGCATATCCCCCTTTCCACAAAAGATTTCTTGAGATAATGAGACGTCAAATGAAGAAAGAAACCGAAGAATATTGTTTTTTCTTTCATTTTTCCCCATCGTTACAATTTTTTTAAATTGTAACAAATCCTTGTATCTTGATGCTGAATTGAATCTAAGTAAAAATAAATAAGTACGTAACATGTTTCTGAAGCTTTCAGTATCTAACCATGCAATGCGTATACAATACAAAGCGTACATGTTCAATATCTAACAATACAATGCGTATCAATTCACCTTTTCGTTTAAAAATACGTTCCTCATACTTCCAGATGCTATTTTACTCTAATTTAACAAACGAAATAAAAGGAATTTTGAAGTTTTTGTATTTTATGAATTTAAAATACAAAAATCCCAAATGAAAATAAGTTTTAGTTTTTTGTATAAAACTTGTAAGAAAAAATAAAACACTTCAAGTCTCATATCCATCCAAATATCCGTGTAATTGGCAAAAAATATATAAATATACTTCAAAGAAACTATTTCAGGAGCTGATAAAAAAATCTTTTTTTTTTTCGATAAATAAACATTAATTCCTATTCCATATATTTTTCCGAGATTCTACAAACTGCGTTTCCTCCATCTTTGTCAGTTTTTTTTTCTTCCAAAGCAGATGCTTTAACAATAATAACAACCCCATTTGTGATTCTTTGCCCATTTTTGAGAACATGTATTTTCTTTTAAGTTAAAGAATCGGAGGGAAGGAGAAATATTAAAGCCCAAGGTAAGTTTAAAGCCGCTTTAACGCCGAAGGTATCTTGAAATATTGCAGTTTTACAACCCCAAGGAAAATTTTATTCTTTGTTCGAAAAAGATTTCGAAAGTTAAGAAGGATATAAAAGAGTTCTGTTTGTAAAATTGGCAACTAAAATGACCAGTAGCAAGTAAAAGAAATATCAGGTCTTTTATCGAATTCGTAAAACATTTACTGGATAAAAATACAAAAATAAAACTGTTGATATTCGTGATAAATTATGTTTACAAAACTTGTCTAATCTTATTCTACCTTATTTTTAAAAAAATATTCCTTAACAGAAACAAAAATGTTAAAAATGCAATTTAATGTTGAATTAGCGTAGTTAAATCATTCAAGACATGTTAATGGTAATTTTGACATATAATGACATGTAATTTTGACATTTGATATGATAAATAATATATTAAAATGCTATTTACCAATCCTTATATATTTACTCGGAATACATTAACACTGTACATAGGCATCTTATCGAATTTGAGAAATATATACTGGTCAAAAATATTCAAAAAAAATATAACCTATTCGTGATAAATCATGTTTATAAAGCACATAATTCCCACCTATTTGAAACTGTGAATATCGCTTTACAGAAATGAAAATGGGAAAGATGTAATTTATTGTTGAATTTTCACCGTTGAATTATCCAAAACATGTTGACAAATGGTAATTTGGACGTAAAAAAATATTTCGGATACAATCAATATATTTATTATTCAAAGGATATTTGCCCAGAGTGCACTAACACTCAAAAATGACCTAATAAAACACAACACTATGAGGAAACAGTATTGCAAACAAATAAAGAAAGAGGATATTTTGTGTATATGAATAAAACACAAACATAATCACAGAAAGTACAGTTTGGTACTCTGACCAAGAGATTTCCTCAGTGTCGAAATATGGAATGAAAGAAGAGAAGCGTCCCTCAGTGGACTGATCATTAAAACACGATTCCCTGCAGATCACCGAAGTCAAGCATCAGTCACTGCGGTCAGTGGGTGGGCGGGTGACCACTTGGATCAGTCTGTGTGGGGACCGAGGGTGTGCGGTATAGGCCTTCGTTAAACTGTTCGACCGTAAAGTGCTTGACTTC